AAAACAAGAGTAGCGTCACCGGAATGAACACCAGCTTGCTCAACGTGCTCACTGACAGCGTGGAGAATGAGTTGACCGTTAGATCCAACACCATCTACATCAATCTCTTCGGCACCTTCAATGAATTTGGTAATAACAACTGGGTGATCAGGGGAAACGTTGCTAGCGGCTTCGAGCTTCTCCTTAAGCTCATCCTTGCTTCTAATGACAGTCATTGCAGCACCTGACAACACATATGAAGGGCGGACGAGGACTGGGTAACTGACTTCATCGGCGAAAGCCTCTGCGTCTGCAACTGAGGTGAGTTCTTTCCATGCCGGTTGATCAACTCCGATGCTGTCCAAGATTGCAGAAAACTTTTGTCTGTCTTCTGCCTTGTCAATATCCTTAGGGTCTGTTCCTAAGATCTTGGCTCCACCTGATTCTTGCAGACGAAGAGCAATGTTTTGTGGGAGTTGACCGCCTACAGAAACGACAACTCCAGCAGCAGATTCAAGTTCGTAGATATCCATTACACGTTCGTAGCTCAATTCTTCGAAGTAGAGTTTGTCGGCAGTATCGAAATCAGTGCTGTAAGTCTCTGGGTTGTCTTGCAAGACGTTAGTATTGATCCATAGAGGTAGAGTTGAGAAAACTTACAGTTGATCATGACGGTCTTCTTGCCCATTTCTCTCAAAGCAAGAGTTGCACTAACGGCACACCAATCGAATTCAACAGAGCTACCAATTCTGTAGACACCACTTCCCAAGATGATAGTTCCCTTGTCCTCAAATGTAACGTCGTGAGTTGTTGCATTGTATGTCGTGTAGAGGTAGTTTGTGTTTGCCGGGAACTCAGCAGCAAGAGTATCAATTCTCTTAACAAAAGGAGTAATACCAAAGCTCTTTCTGAGGGCTCGGACTTCATCTTCGGTGGACTTAACGGCGTTGGCAATTTGTTTGTCAGAGAAACCCAACTTCTTTGCTTTTTGGATGATTTCCTTCTTCAATCCATCAAGGCTTCCAATATCCTCAAGTTCGTGGGTACAATCAACAATGTTCTGAAGCTTGTACAAGAACCATTTATCAATCTTGGTAAGGTCATGTACACGATCAACAGAGTAGTTCTCGTGGAGCATGGCTTGTCCAACAGCTAACCAACGACGATCGGTGGGGTTCTGAAGTTCGTAGTCGAGGTCATCAAATTTATCTCCTTGGAAACCGACAAATCTTGGATCAACTTGGCGAATAGCCTTTTGGATGGATTCTTCGAATGTTCTACCGATAGCCATGACTTCACCAACAGACTTCATGGCACTGCCGATGTCACGCTTGACGTGTTGGAACTTTGACAGATCCCATCTAGGAATCTTAGAGACGATGTAATCAAGGGAAGGCTCGAAGTTGGCAGTCGTAGTCTTGGTAACAGCGTTTGGCAACTCGGGGAGAGTGTGGCCAAGTCCGATCTTAGCAGCAGTATATGCAAGAGGGTAACCAGTAGCTTTCGAGGCAAGAGCAGATGATCGGGAGAGACGAGCGTTAACTTCAATAACTCTGTAATCTAATCCATCTGGTTGCAAAGCGTATTGAACGTTACATTCTCCAACAACTCCCAAGTGACGAACAATTTTAATAGCAGCTGAACGAAGCATGTGATATTCTTCGTCGCTCAAAGTCTGACTAGGGGCGACGACAATAGAATCACCAGTGTGGATACCGAGAGGGTCGAAGTTTTCCATGTTGCAGACAGTGATGCAGTTGTTACTGGCATCTCTGACAACCTCATATTCAACTTCTTTCCATCCCTTCAATGATTTTTCAACCAAAATTTGAGGGGAAAGAGTCAAAGATCTGGAAGCCATGTTGCGAAGTTCTTCCTCGTTGTTTGCGAATCCAGAACCAAGACCACCAAGAGCATAGGCAGCACGGACAATGATTGGGTAACCAATACCCTTTGCAGCCTCCAAAGCTTCATCCACAGTTGATACAGCGACAGATTGAGCAATTGGGATGTTGATCTCACCAAGAGCCTTGGCAAAGAGATCTCTATCCTCACTGGTCTCAAGAGTCTTGATACTGGTACCCAAAACCTTTACACCATATCTCTCAAAGATACCCATACGCTCCATTTGTACACCGAGATTGAGAGCTGTTTGACCACCGAAAGTGAGGAAGATACCATCTGGTCTCTCACGCTCGATAACATATGTGACATATTCAGGTGTGACGGGAAGATAATAGACTTCATCGGTAAGAACGTGTGCAGTTTGGATCGTTGCAATATTGGGGTTGATGAGTACAGAAGCTACACCAGCTTCTTTCAAGGCCTTCAAAGCTTGAGAACCTGGATTGAATAAATGGTTAGCATGATATAATACATGGCCTGGATGTAAGTTGGCACGAAGAGGATTTCCACGCCCAAAAATGACTCATTCTGCCAAAGATTGAAATCTGGGGAACCAACCTGAATAATCGAATTCTCCTGCTTGACCAATACTCAAGCCACCACTTCCAATGACCAGAACCTTCTTCACGTTCACTGGGTTGGCAGCTCCCTTTACAACCCCACTGGCCAAGTATGCTTCAGCGCTGGGCGCGGTTTGTGACTGATCCCTAAGGAGTGTGGAACTGGAAAAAAGTCGAGCATATTTGCTGTTCTTCCAGACTTGAGCTGGTTGACGGTGTACAAGACCGTTAATGGAAGCTCTAGTGGTGAACGCTCTCGCAGGCAAAGCTGGAGCTTTGCACTGACGAAGGAGCGACGAAGATCGATATGCGAAGCGGTTTGCGAGCGCCATAATATCGAATTGTGGTTTCAATTGAACTTTTCAAGTAACTTTTCCACCTGATCCGTTTTCACTTTACCCTGCCAATTAAATCAAAGTTGATCTGGCTATTTGTGGGAAAAAGAATGTGAGTTTTGGATAATGGATATTTTTTGTTGATAATCTACCTAGGGTAGCTTTCTGATAAGCTTTGGATGTCGGTTTGTAAATAAAGGAATAATGAACCCCTCTGTTGTAGCAGATTGAAGTTATTCCTGGAGTTTGGAAGGTTCGAAGTCTCTAAGCATTGTCGATTAAGTTGGGGAAATCAAAATGGTATCGTGTAATTTTTCGAATTTGGAGATGTTTTGTGTCAATGAGGGTTTTCTGGATTCTGGTTGAAGATTTTATTCTTATATGTGATGTGAGTCTGAGTCTTTTTCAGTTGTGTGACCGGCTGGTTGGAACCAAAATTTTCTCTGCCCCGCTTTTTGATCTGCATGGACAATCCCAACCAACCAACAAAGGATATCTTGGATTTATTCCAGATTGGGTGTGAAGAAGATTGGAATTGAACCAATCAAAATCTATTAGTCACTCAATTAATACTTGAATTTACCAATTGGTTCTTTGGCGTCATGATATGCCAAAAGAAAATCAGTGCCGGTTGGGGGACGGGAGCTATTTCGTCTAATTCATCTATCTAATTCATCTAATTCATGAACCCGGGCTATTAGTCAGGCAACCTACCAAATGCCTTTACCACATGTTTGAACGAGGGGTGTGAACGAGGGGTTCGTACCATCATGGCATCATCAGAGCGATGCCGGCGGATGATAAAATTCTTCTTCGTGCATCATTCATATGTGCGTGGCAGGAAGACGTGGGGTCTATGTGAATATTTCGATACATGGATCTTCAATGAGCATCACACATTTCTTCCTCATTAGCTATAATCTCGCAACCATTTCGGGAAATGTAGATATCGAATGCTACCCATGTTGATCTAAGAGAGCCACTAGTCATCGGCTGAGTTTCGCTTACTTAATACCTTCGAAAGGGGAGTCCGTTATAACATTGACTCTTGCAGAAGACTCTCACATGATTGGGTTATCTTGTAACATTGAAATGAAACGTTTCTGGTGATACTCCAAATTACCGATGTGTTAAGAAGAGGCGATTGTGGGATGACTTTGATCTTATCGTTATCATTCAATGTCCATTTATTTTCTAATCCGTTTCTTATACCTATCAACCCCTTATAAAACAAATACGCTTGATTACATTGTACCTACCCCACTGCACCGAAAATTACAGCTTTCGGTTGTTTGTCTTTGTAGTCTAGTTCTTTCACTCGGAATCAATAGCTATCTGTCAATCAATCAACAGATAATTTTCACTCTGGAATTATCGAACTAACTGTTTGATAAGACATATGGTTCACCGGCAATGTGAATGTTAAGACGTATTAACATTGATTGAAGCCGTCCTAAGTGGTCAGAATAGCATCCATCGATATTGAGCATCTCCAATATGAGACCTACTGGGCTATATGGCAGTGACTAACCGTGGCCTCACGCCCCGCTGCGTTCGGTCAGCATTCGAAGTCAGAACCTACAAATGTTATACTATAACCTTCATACGTCCCATCTCCAGAGGTGCGGCATGAATGAGTGCGTGTACTGAAAGAGGAATGGCTGCGCATAATGTGTCTGAATCAGGATTGTTAGCCGGGGAGCGTGTGCCAAAAGAGGCTCTACATACTATTAACTCTTAGCGATGATGTCGCGGCTATATTGCAGTTCTCACCCTCTGGTGGTCTACAATTTTGTTTGTTTAGTGTCAGGACCGTGAATCCAAGGGCTAATCTCATCAAAACATCCTAATCACGGGAGAAGGGAAAGAGACAATTTTATGTTGCGACTTATTATTAGAGAGCGCTTAATCGGTTAGCACAGCCAGCCCATCTCTGGAATATCAGCCGATATATACGGTCATTGGCGAGAATAACTAACGTCATGCAACATTTGGACCTCATCTCATTTCTATGATAGCAATGAGAATTGAAGATTGCTTCCAAGGTCCGACGATAACAAAATTCCTTATCTCGCGATCACGGAGTAAGCGTAGGAAGTGAGTGGGGAAGTTGATTAAGAGATTTTATAGTTCTACAAGTAAAGTCCTGCCTTATTCAATATGATGAAATCGACTTCGTTCTAGAGGTGGCTCGGTTGGGTAGAATGAGGGTGCGATGTTAATGCTCGCTTATCGAGGACTGCGCTCTCAATCTACTATCGGCACATGTGCGGCAGTGACCGAGATAACCGATAAGGTACCCCATAAGCTAAACTTACATGTATACACCTTTTTCGCAAACACCTTCTCACCACAACCTTACATATTAATCATTAATCATAATAATACACAATCTTTTTCATCTGCAGTGTCAAATTCATAGTCTTTTCAGAATGGATTCCTCATCGATTCCATCACCACCAAAACTACAGATCGCACATGTTCTCGCTGATCTAAATATTCTCAAGCAAGCAGTTCGTCAACACCATTAACCCATCGCAGCCCGCATGCCAAAGTCTTGCATTGTATTCTATGGCTCCCCACATCTCCACGCGTATCCCCACACACAATATCGATGTTTCTCTGAGTATACGTGCTAATGAGTCTTATGCGCAGCCACCCAAAGCTACCCTCTCCTTCTTACGCAGCCTCTCCACCGTATCGGCCACTATAGACGAAAGAAAAACGTCAATTCATTCACAACCAACGCCAAAATTTGATCGCCTCGGCCGTCGTATACCCACACCCCCTTCTGTCGTTCAATCGCCGTCTCCTCCGCTCAGGAAACACTCGTCTATGGGTTCAATTGATCTCCCAGAGACCGAGGAATCCATCCGAGAAACTCGAGAACGTCGTCTTGAAAGAAGGAGAAGTAGCGGCGTATGTTCTAGATTTTATCCTGTCGCATTGAAACGATAGCTAACATATTATATCACAGAGGGATGAAGAATTCATGCGGGCGAAGACATTACTAGCATATTATAACAATCGACACAAGCTACAAGAAAATGGTCAGAGAGGAATAAAAATTTCACAGGAAAGGGTTAGTAAAGCGTTGAATGAACAAGAGGAAAAGAGACAACAGGTGAGAAAAAGAGATTCTCTTGGAAAGCTCGGAGTACCAGATGCGAATAGTTATTTTTTATCCAAGAGTTAGATGCTCAAATATAATTTAAATCAATGTTCTATTGGAGTTCTCAAGAATTTGAAGATTTTGGGATTCAAGTATTGTCCGAGTTTCATTTGAATATTCAGGAACCTATCTCATCATGTATATCTGCAATACCACGTACAAAGATGTAAGTCTTCATAATCCTCGGAACCGATCAGAGCTGCCGGAAGCTTGTCCCGTCAGTGGCCGAGCGGGGTCTCCACTGAAGGGTCACAATAAGATCTCCACATGAATTGCTCACTTATTTGAGCTTCAAGTAACCACACCTTTTGATTGTACATGAGAAGTTTGGTTTTTTTTGGATTTTTGGATACTTCACTCCGTATGTCTTTAATCTTCCGCCGTGGCATTGCCACCATATCTCCTTTCAAGAGTGCTTCAAAAGTTGTATGTATCGGGAGAAACTACGCGTATGTTTACCCCCACTCCTCTTCCTCCTCGACCATGAATTGCTTCTCGATATCCCTCAATTGAGTGTCTTCCAAGTATTTAGAATGGCGGGACTAATTCGAAAAACAGAGATCATATCACGGAATTGAACAACAGCAAGCCCAAACAGCCATTCTTCTTCCTCAAGCCACCTTCCTCGATTCTTCCTCCAAATGGTGGAGCTGTCATTCGACCAAAGGGTGTAGATTTGCATTATGAAGTGGAATTGGCTTTGATCATGGGAAAGCAGGTTAAGAATCTCGAGGCGGAGAATGAGAAGGAAGCTTATGATTCTATCGAAAGTGCGTATGCTAGAATGGGCGACGCAATTTGATTTCTAACCATTGAATCACATAGGCTACGCAATGAGCATTGATATGACAGCTCGCAATGCCCAAAACGAAGCAAAGAAGAAGGGTCTCCCATGGGATATCGCGAAGGGATTTGATACCTTCCTCCCAATGAGCAACATCATTTCCAAATCACAAATCCCGGATCCTCACAATGCTACCGTGTGGCTTACAGTCAACAATGAACACAGACAAAAGGATTCGACAGAATTGATGTTATACCGAATTCCTAGAATTTTGAGCGATATCTCAAAGGTGATGACGTTGGAGAAGGGAGATATTGTCTTGACTGGTACACCAAAGGGAGTTGGATCTGTGAAGCCCGGAGATGTTATGCGAGTCGGCATTAGTGTTGGGGGTAAGGAATTGGAGGAAGGAAAGATTGAAGTTGCAGTTGAAGAGTCGACGAGTACATACCAGTTCAAGGAGACTTGAGCAATTTATTTAGGTTGTTTACACTAGGATACCCGACAATATGTATAAGAGTTGAGACTTCATGCGAAAGACTTCGTTATTTCATTATTCCTTTTCTCATCAATCAAGCGATATTTGGGTCCTTGATAGATCCTACCGGGGGCGCTGATTCCGCAACCGTCCCGCATTTCTTACATTTCCTCCTATCCTCACTATCCTTGAAACTATTCACAGCTTCCTTAATTTGCGTGCCCAAGTCTGTACAATGGAAAGCAGCCTCCTCCACCACCTCCCGGCAGTTTGTACAATACCACCTCAACCTATCTAACGAACCCTCTGGTCTTGGTTGTTCTAGCACAATGCCCACTGTGTTTGCGAATCGAACAGGATTATGCGGCGTATTGGGTGGCAATAGAAACATTTCTCCCTCCCCAATAATAATATCTCTAAATTCGCCTTCATCTACCACTTTCAACATCATAGCTCCCTTGTATTGGTAGAACCATTCTGCGGTCTCGTTTATGTGATAGTCGGTTCGTGCATTGGGACCTCCTACGATCTGCGGAGCTTAGAAATGTCTGAGACAATGATGGGTGATGATGATCGTACCATGACAGTCACATCTTTATTGTACACGCAGTAATTGTTAATGGGAGGTTTCAAGAGATGAGAGTTCTCTTCGAGCCTATCGAATCGCTGTTAAAACAGATTCCGTCCATGATCTTGAACGTTGCTTACCACTTGGGCAGGTTTAAAGGACTGGTGAGCATCGTGGACGAAGTTATCAAGGTCGTAGAAGAGAGTGTTGCCAAGCTCAGTTTAGAAATTCATGATCCATTGATGAGTCTTGCCCCTCACATCCGATGAAACCGGTTGCGGCAGTGTGGAATAGCTTATCTTCTGTAACACCGATGTCCGTGCATTATCTGATAAAGAACAGTGCAGCTTGTCTCGAGCTTGTCTTGTCTAAGAATATACAGAGGACTCTCGTACACTCTTTTCGGTATTCAATATCAAATTAAACAATCATTATTTCGAATCAAAAAAGGGGAGATGGATATATTTGTAAGCTTTTCATCTGTTCAAAACATCTTGTTGCTCGAGTCTCTATATGAATAGATAGCAATATGATATATCAAAATGTAAATGTTTTCATCAATGTTTGATGCTGGTTGAGTGTACCGCTTTTGTGTTCACATGGAGCTTGTCAGACAGAGCTGTTGGCGCTGTATTAGCTTGGTTTGAGCGCATTTGAGAAGGTAAATTAGGGGACCATTGCACCATCGATTCATAACACTCTGTAATTGGTGCAATTAACCCCTAGGTAGTTACGCCATTCTTCCAGCAGCAGTGTAGATAGCGATATATATAGAATCATTTTAATATCCATTTCAAAATCATCATCTTCTTTCATTGAAATCTCACGGATCCTCGCGAACTCGAATTACCATCTACTTCATTGATAACGATCATTTCAATAATATACACATTGTTGTAACATTCACATTCACATTCACATTCACAATGGATCATTCGCATATGGATCACAGCATGCACGATATGGGAATGGATATGGGAGGAGATAGATGTAACATGAACGTCCGTTTTCAATCTACGCGACTCTCTCGATTTCTCAATCACTAACCTCAATTGCAGATGCTCTTCACCTGGGACACCAATAACCTCTGTATAATTTTCCGCTGGTGGCACATCCGCTCCACCTTCTCCCTCCTCATTTCGCTCGTTGGCGTCGTCGCCATCACCGCCGGATACGAAGGCATTCGCTCCCTGACCCGTCGCTATGAATCCTGGGTCGACAGACAACAAGGTTCCATAACCCGTAAGTTCACCTACTTTTCTCCTCTCCCCCGTGCGCGCTTTTCCTCCCTCGACTTTCATACCGGAACAGTGGAATGAAAAGCTGAGACTATGTGTGCAAATTAAGTGGATGACGTTACTGAAAATACGCCTTTTCTCTGGGCAGGACGCAATCAAGAAGAAGTAGGTCAGAGAGCACATGTTATCAAGGCTGCGCTGTATGCTTTCCAGTATTTTTATGCATTTATGTTGATGTAAGTATTTACTCTATCTTCTGCGTGGAGGGATACTAATGAAGTTTTAGGTTGCTTTTCATGACATATAATGGATGGGTTATGATTGCAGTAGGAGTTGGTGCATTTGTGGGTTTCTTGATATTTGGAAAGAATACTTCGGCTGCGAAAGAGACGGCATGTCATTGAGAGTTTAAATTATGGAGTTAAGGGAATGAGTGGTTTGGAGGAAGATGAAGTTAGTGTCGGATGGGGACAGGGAGGGCGTCTTGTTGGTGAAAAGAAGGAGGACAGCAGGTCGAAGACATGGATCTTTGGGAGACAAGCGTCGAATAATCGAGTCAAGCAAGATTTGTTTTCGTTTGAGAATGCCAAATACCCAGCGTTATTTACATGATCTCAGACCGCTATGCATGGATTTATTGCGTTTGCGCAGAGCCCTTCATATATAGATATATATGGGGGGTGGTGTTATGCTTTACATGTTTCAATCTATGTTATCAATATAATACTGCCCAGACCTGCTCTTCGAGTTACTTGATCATTTGTGTGCAATGCAGATATGTCTAGCATGTGATTATAGACAATTTTAATTCCTCGATACAAAAACTAGAAGAGAGGAACGTCCGCAAGCTTGTATCTTTGATACCTAATAACCACCAAACTTAAAGCTCTCTCAGAGTGCACTGGAATACTCTCCAAGAATATGTATCCTAAATTCAAGGTTGACATGTACTCGAAAATAGACGTACTAGATAAGTACCATTATCACATCCCACCAAAAACCAAAATGGGTGGACTTATCACTTACACCACAAATCTAACCCCAAAGATAAAAGAGAATCATCTGACTCAACAGCCACCTCCTTCCAAAATCTTCATCAACGAAGAAAAATGCAAAAAAGATTGTTGTTTGGTGTCTACCAGAGATTGTTACTCCAGGTGGGTGTCGAACCCACGACTTTCGCATAACTTCATATTGATCCGCAAGGGGAAGAATATAAGAACGACACGCTAACCACTCTATAATTTCTGTATTAGCCATGATGTACCTTCATTTTTGGAATGGAGGCAGTAACTTACGCGTCACTGGAGTTTGGCATGTTTGTTTGACGAAGCCGGCGTTTTTAAATATATATTAGAATATCAGCTATTTTTGCAGGGATCGAGTGGGGCTCATCGAATAAGAGGTTTTCATTGGTTGGGAGGAGGGGAAATAGTGGGGTTGCTCGGGCTGGAGTTGGTATGTGGAACTTGTGAGTCTGGTCTGGATGGCAATTGTATTGATCGATTCACTTGGTATCTATCATGCTTTTGAGTAAAAATGATATCTAACTCATTACAATATACAACATACGATATTAATTTAAAACTATCTCCGAAGTACTGAAGGTGGCTTTGTTGATTCTATCACAAGAGTTTGTCTACAAACTTTACATATCATTGTCACTGGTTGGTCTTTAGTTGTACGATGTGCTGAAGCGTATGAATCATTTGAGATACAAATATCATAGTTGCGGTGATTCAAACAGATGAATATCTATGAACGAGGGCATTGAACTTTGAAGGGATGCCTGATTTTCCGGCTACTCTCCCCGTTACTCGGCATTATGTGCTGAAAGATGGTTGAACTACACCTGTACTCTACGGCTAAATTTTGTCAAATAAATCTCATCTCATAATGGCTCACCGAAAATATTGCAGACTACTAGGACGTCTCACAGGTCATCATTGGAGATCATTGAACAAGGTTCACAGGTTTCTTGTATTAGGGCGTATGACAATGTCCATTCTAACACGCCATTTCATCTTCTCAGTCATTATCAACTCTCAATTCCAATCCTCGCTACAGCAATGGCTCTCTGACGAAGGTGTAGGGCTCTCAGGACAGCACCGGTCCTCTGCTACTGGAGTAGGTGAAAGTTGTTCAAGTGTAGGAAGCGAGACCGATGGCTCTAGTGTTGTTTGCATCTTATGGTTTTCATTAACCTCAGTTCTCGAACTAAAGACATCCCGCGTTATCACGCGGGAAGGGGATTTACATCACCAATTCCTGAAGGCAATCCGTTTGCGATATTCTGAATGGCTACTTTGGTTGGCTTTGAAAGTTCCTTTCCTAGCATTACCACCAATACAGGTGTTCTTAGGCAACGAAACCTACCCTTGCGTACTCCCGATCGAAATTTATTAATAACTTTATGTGTGCGCTTTTCATCCTTCTTATCTTTCGCAATTGGGGTGACGGGTAACTCTGGAATTGGAGAATCGCCACCAACATTTGGTTCAATAGCTGCAATAGATGGAACTTGAGCAGGACCATCCGATTGTCCGATGATATCTTCCGTTCTTTCTGTCGGCACCTCTGACAATGGCGATGCTGCTATCGATCCTTCGGGCACTGCTTCGAGAGGTCTCATGAGGGATGATTCTAGGGAGCTATCACGCTTGTTCATAGACAAAAGTTTATCTACGTTCGGAACAGCAGATGGACCATCCAAAACGCTAGTTCTAGGACTAACTTCAAGGCAAGGACCTCGAAGATGGTCGGGCAACGCACCAAAGTCTTTAATAGTTGTACCAGTGGGGAACTCGGGCTTAGTATCGTGTGATCCATCCATATAAAACTTCTCAGTCGCTGATAAACGCTTTGTTGGTGTTGATGGCGCAGTATTGAAATTAGAGTAGGCTTCTGTGTAGGTTTGTGATTCAACTAGTGGGTCTTCATAAATGTCGTCGTTTTCGTTTTCAATCTGCGTGAACTTGCGCCCCTCTTTATACCCCAAAGGTTTAGAGGGTCTGTATGTCTTGACTTTTGGTCTCTTACCGAGAGCAGATTGTGATCCTACACTGTCGGAACGCTTCATCATGAGTATAGGTTGCTCATTGGTTTTTGTGGTGTCTAAATATTCACGAGTCAGTTCGAACGAGAACCCAGTTGGGATCAAAGATTACCAATTTCAATATCCTTCCAAGGAATAGAAGTATCGACTAATTGAGGAACAGCTTCATATTGAGTAAAAGTGGTAGGCCCCAAACCATTGCCTTTACCCATAACCTTCATAGTCGGAGTCATCTTAACAAACTTCTGAATTCCCCCCTCCTCTGAAATTCCAACTAACGTCGGTGACACAATACGACTCTTGAGTGATCGCTTGACAGAGCCAGACGAGAGTGGAGGGCTCGATGTATCACTCCCAGGACTGGAACTACGGGAAGGAGCTCCAAGAGATATAGCTGGAGTTTCCAACCCGATTGATTGACTTGTTTTAAGAATGGGCATCGAGCCTAGAGTTCGTTTGTTGGAACGAGCGAGTTATTAACTAGATAGGGTTGGAGTCGGAGTGTTGTCATGGAGTTGTTTTGATGGAAAGGAGATTGGTAACTGGTCGAGGTATTCTAAGATTAAAAATACTCTCAAATGAGTGACGAAACGAGTGGCTGCCAAAATAATGACGGTGGTGATTACAATAATATTTTTGAACAAGAACAGGACTTTTTTCTCCGAATAATCAGGAAGTCCTTCAAAATTTGCCCACCGTTCTTTCCAATAGTTGGTCGGTCGTTCTTGCCCTCTGCTCGAGTCTTTCATAGGCATGCAAATCGCCCCGACCCAGCCTGTTCATCACCTCTTCCCTCCCCATTTCTCCATCCAAACCCTCACGATTGCAAATGTCCCCAACAGACAGGCAAAATCTCTCGAATTTCAAATTTAACCATCGTCTTTCAAATGGACACTTCCTACATGAGTGTTCATGAGAAGCTAGCTATCCGACCAAGTATGCATATCTATGCTCATAGTGTCGCTCTCAAGTACTGTAGAGAATATCTATCAGTGAATTTATAGTATTAGATAGTTAGTTTGAACTTGAATTCGAACTCACAAGAAGCTACCCGACTACTACGTACTTTTAAGCAAACAATCTTGAGCATTTGTAAGTTTAACAAGGCAGAGTTCATACAGATGCCTCAATTATCTGGGTATCTAAGAGTCTTTGTGAGTGCTAGATATAGACATGTTTCCATTAGAAAGTCCCATTCCTTACTCTCTCTGACTCGGGAATTCCGTGAGCTAAATCTGATCCAATCTTAGACACTACACAATCGAGGTTGTTACGGGCGACAGAAGAAAGGGGCAAAAAATTACATTAGACCATTCATGGTATTCTCATCAACAGAAGACGTGCATGAGATGATTGATTTAATTTATAATATGTCATATATGCCAACAACAATATATCTGTCTGATGTTTTGCTTCTCCCTTCTCCCTATCCGGGATATCCTGCGCCATATATGCATGCCTTCGTTAACACCAGAGTCACCGCTCTATCCACCAAGCACCTAAATTCCCTCATTGCCCTGTCGTTTTGTTTAATTTGGCCCCCCTTCGTACACGCCAATGATTCATGCTGCAAACCTCCTCATCAATCCTCTTTCCCCTCTGCCCTATAGACTCAAATAGTCATCGAGACGCTTTGTCGATTAAAAACCTATTTTCACGATCAGAGTATAAGCATCAAAAGAACAAAATAGTCCAGGGGTAGACTACTTATTCAATCTAGCCTAACTCCGCCAACCCTTTTAGCAAGACGCTCCGCAGGACCATCGTCATCGGACGGCGACTGACGTTTTGGGGGTCGCTCACCAGTCGATTGTAAAATTGCAAGGAAATTTGCCCAGCCAGGGGTTGCTATCAATTGGTATCCATCTGCTAAATCGTGTTGAGTTGCCACACGGCAGAGAAGTGCCATCTCTTCCTACGAATGATTATGTTAGTATCATACTTATGAGTGTGAAAAAAAGAAAAAGTTGGTACGAACTTTGCTTAAAATACCCATACTATAGATGAAGCATAGGAGATGAAAGTCAGACACCGCGAGGACGCCATCAGGAGATTGAGTGAGTTGACCACTCTTGTCAAGTCCTAATTGCTTTCCAACGTCCTTGAGATCTTGTTCCTGGCCAAGTACCAAACGATTCTCAATAGTGAAAGAACTCTTAGCCATGAATGCTGGCTTAGGATCGCTAGGAAAGCCGTGAGTCAATGTGACGAGTAAATATTCTACAGGGAAAGATGGCTTGGCATTCTCTTGAACGCTTCTACCATACTCGTTAATCTTTCTGAAGAAGACCTCAGGAATGTATCGTGCGCTCGTATCGGAATCATCATCTCCTTCGCTGCGAACGATCATCACAGCAGGATCGGCGGATGGTTCGACAATATCTGCTCGAACCATTTCCACGGCTGAGTTGGAGACTTGATATGCAGATATGGCGATTCCTCCGGTCTCATCGGCTGTCACTACACAGGTAACAAAATTGGACCCAAATTTGCCCGTATCACTCCATTTCGTTGGCTTTGGGTGCTTCGCTTGTAAACGTGCTGCAAATGCGATTTCCAGCGATGATAAATAGTATGAATCAAAATGTCTCTTGCATAAGACTGTGCCATCTCCTACGCCTGAGTCAATGAGATCAGTCCAGATGACACCAACTCTCTCCATGCCACACAATCTCGCAATCTCGTCGATATCCTTTTCGGATTCCCATTCGTTTAATGTGACGCCATCGAGTTCGTCAACTTGTGGCGGTTCGTAAATAGCTTCCACAACAGCCTTGACTCCCAATGGCACCTCTGTATACTCCTCGTAGCGACCATATAAATACCCAAAACGTTGTGCACCTGTCGCCCTCCAGAACTGGAGTAGGTTTTCGATGAGGCTTGCTTGAGCGAATTCAACATGATCCACCATACGGAATGCTTGCGGCTGTAAAGTGATTGCGCTCGGTTGGCACTTAGTACAAATACCCTCGGGCCACTGAGGATGTCCTGACGGGCAGTTCTTCTTCACACGGTAATACGGCTCCGTCAATGGTGGCATAAAAGAACTTCCTAGCTCTGGTTTGTTGGTCGCCGAGTTGATCTTTCGCAGATACGAGTGAAACGAGAGGTTCTTGATCTTTTTCTCGGCCAGGTATTCCGCATTGAATGGTTCTAACGGCATACAGTAGTCACACATTCCTTTTTCACCATGTCGACACATCTTTTGATCCTTCTTTCTGGGGATTTTGCCATCTTTCTTGTCTAGCCTATTATCGAGATCGGATTGTCTAACTAATTCCCACGGATTTTTGATCTTTTCCGATGGCGAAGTTACTTCTTGAGCTGGAACATCGATAGGTATTGATTCTGGTAAAACGACATGTCCATTTAAACGATTTGTTGAGGAGGCGAGTTGAGATGGAGGACCAGTCGAGGTGGAAGGGGTAGCATTGCCATTTGAAAGACTATCCAAGAGCTTATAATTTATGAATACCATATCGCCATTCCTTCAGTTGGTCAATACAACACTCTAGAGGCTTTATAAATATACCCGACTTACTTGAGACCAATCTGCGAGACTTTGGCTCTTGCAATTTCTACAAGAGACTTGACCTCACCACCACTCGGCGCATTTGAAAGTGTTAATGTCTTCGGGTCGATGTTCTCAGGTAGAAGTTTTACAAGCTATAGCATATTAGCAGAAGCTCACTACGATACATACAGCATATCTCAGACTAACCTTGTCGCCAAGTTGAGCAAAAGTTTCATTTGCTTCAACAGTGATACGAACTGTTCCATCAGGACCACGAAATCTTAAAAGCATCTTGACCTCTTATCAAGTTTATTTCTTAAGTTTATCCGGATGAATGAAATGTATTCGAGGTAGAACTATTGTATTAAAGAACAAAAAACAAAAAGTTAAGTATGAAGGAACAAAATCTTTAAGGTTCTTCCTAATTCTTGAGATGTTGGGTTGTTTGGATTGTTAATTGTTTAAATTGAAGCTCTAAGCTCTGAGTAAATAATACTGATCCCACTATCAAGGCTAGGAAGACGACTGTACGTCAGAGTTCGGTAGCCTACGGAAAACAGTTAGGGAGGTAGGAACCGCCGAGAACTGCCATGCCACTTACCTAGGTAGGTAATTCACCGCCTTGGTAATACGAATTACAAGAAACACATGAATTACACACACAAATTATATGAATTCGGTATAAATATTACAAGTATTATATAAGAATTACAAGGATGGAATTTAAGTGCATCTTCAAATTAGTTGGATCGGGTGAAATTGATTTAATTGGTTGTTAATTTATTAGCGAAGAGCTTGTCTTCTTAGTCAAAAAAAGTGACTTTAAGGTTATTTGTCCTGAAGTGGCAGAATGCGATAGAATAAAGATTAATAAAGGACACACAACACATAAGAGGATATCTACTATTTTGATACCTCCAACAATCGCACCGTCTTTGTCGGAAAACTTCAACCACCCTTCCTAGACATTGGCCTTTTTTCGATTCGATATATCTTCCCAAATCTCTGGGAGAGCTAGAAGAGTGTTGTTTTGTGTTCGACATAGTGACAGCAGCAACCATGTTCAAAGATTTTGATTACGCAACCACTCTCCGTGGTCTAATACTTCCTTTCGCATATGTCGTTGTCCTCGTCGGATCACTAGTAACATTTTCTTCATTATATAGAAAGCGCATAGCAGGTTAGTCAAAGTCTGGCTTTTAAATTATGCGCAAAGTTAACAGGTACTCATAGTTAAATCTGCGACTCTTGCGCCTTGGTTTCCACCACATCTGCAAAGGAACATTTACTTTTCTCTAGCTCATCTTGAGCCAGAAGAGGGAGACGAGAAAACGCCAAAAGTACCAGCGGAGCTTATTCGAGCGGCTTTGTTAAGAAGGGCTGTCGAAGACATTTACCGAATTATTCACATTAGAACAGCAAAGCAAGCCTGCAGTACCTTATTACAGAGGGGGAGTGTTGGCGACGATTTGTGGCAAAGATTCTTGAGAGCAGAGAAAGAAATGGAAGAGGAGCTTAGGGATGTGGTTATGGAGGTAGGCGGCGCTTTCATTCATTAAGTAGCTTGATGAAGTTGAATATAGTTAACCGTGAATAGGCAAATGGATTGGCACCAAATTGGGGACAGACAATCTTCCAGTCCGCCAACGAAATTTACACGAATAATCAGTTCAGAAAGAGCCTCGATGACATTCAAGCTAGGACCCAATCTGAGAAGGAGTGGTGGGAGAAACGTCGAGCCTCAATCCAATCAGAATTTATGAAAGAGTTAGATCAAGAAGCAGAAGCCAAGGCATCCAAATTTACCTCACCAACCAAGGCCCAGAGTGTTATGAGCGACGAGGATGCCATTCTAGTTCAAGGAGGCGGGCCAGCAGCTAGCGAACAAGGAAGCCCCAACAGGAAGAAGAAGGGAAAGAAATAAAGCATGTTTTATTAGCTGCTGGGCACTGTACAATGGCATGAATCTTGCCCGCACGAGGCGTTTTTGGTGTCTGGCGTTTTTGCGGCTGTAAAATATTGCATGCATAGGTTATGAGGGGTGTATCAAGATTTGTAGTAACCAGTCCAACTCACTGGTTAGACAAAATATAAAATTCAGCCCCCAGAGGGCCAGCGGGCCTTTTGATTTTTGTACCATTTACTTCCAAGTCTTATCGTTTTCTTCATATCATATGATTATATGAAGTGGTTCTCACTGCACCATTTGAGCATTCTCTGTAGTGGACACCTTCGTACTTGGACCTAGGCGTCTTTCTAGTTGTCGCTATTTTCGACCTTTGTATAAGAGATTCTTTGAGACTATTCATCATAAACACCTTGTCAGAACCTTCCACAAAGGTTGTCTCAAGAGTCCTTTCACTCAAGTCTCAAAAATAGATCTCAGAGTATGACAACATCAAAGACATGATCCTCCAACAAAGCCCAAGTTGATCTCCAATACAAAGAAATTCTCCAACACAATAAAGTCTCATAATAAGACAAAAACTACAAGAACCTTCCATTCCCCTATCTTCCAACTCATCTCTATCGGTATCTGGTATACGCACTATTTCCTATATTTCGTTTTTTCATACTTTGACTTTCATTCTAGACTTATATCTTTACGCTGCTGGCAGCTTTGCGAATAATCTTTTTCATCCCTTTGCGAATACAGTCATCATAGAATTATATACTCTTCCCCCATCTGATTCATTGCGGAAACATCTTTATATACATTCACAGCTTCATACTATTTACCACCACCAAAACCATCACGCAAATCAGTCGTAACTAGCACTGTACGGTAATAAACCGAAACATATTAAACGTATCAACTCAACTCATCTCATCGCCCCACAAATCTCAAACCTCATACAAGATACACCACAACTCAACCATGTCAACCATAACCCGTCTCAGCAAAACCAATCCCGAGCTCGCTGCCAAAATATCTCAAATGGCCCTTCCCCTCGCACCCCTCGTTCGTCTCACAACAGGACAAATCCATCCCTCGTTCCCCAAGAAACTTTTGAATTTCTGGCTTCTCACATCCGCGGAATTAGACGAACTCGCGCATTTTTATCATCAGCGCACTCCGTGTCAGTGGACGATGCATTATCCGTGTCCGGTGTATTGGGACGTAAATGCGGATTTGGAGACTAAGAGGAGGAGGCTGGGAAGATTTATTGGGTTGAGAGGGTGTGAAAGTCCGGTTGAGAGTGTTGAGGAAATTGAGAGGAGAGTTAGACAGGAGAGGGTTAGAAGGGCCGAAGAAGAAATGTTTAGGAATAAGAATCAGTGGTATTAGGTTTGGGTGCTGATGGACGACTAGATATGTTTTATTTGATGCGTTGAGCATTTGCATTCGAAGATTAATATAATTACATTTTACGGCAAGTTACTCTCATGCTCTAGAATTGGAAGACATTTTACTCTCATGTCCCTTAGATTTCAACTGCATTCTTTATCATTTCTCATGTCCTGCCACCTAGTGACACCAAGTTTACAAACCCTTCCATGCTAATTTCGTCAAGTGATCCGTCTTTTTTCTACTCTGCTTGATCATACCCAACAATTTCAAATCTGCAAGTCCTCTATAAAATAACATCAAAGCTTGTCTTTCGCTATCGTCGCCCTCGTCATATTCCGGTCCCAAATTAGCTATAAAAGCAGTCCAGAGATCGAAGATATTGATCAAGTTTCCTGCTTCTAAGAACAGTTTGTATAAAATGGCAGTAGGCGGATGAGACATTAGTGCTCCCTCTTTCGTGGGATCGCAACATGAACAAGAAAGGTAGTCGTGCGGTGAGGAGAGGGCTCGTTCGATTGTAAACCGGGGTTTGGGTGTAAAGGCATCTAGATAGGGCAATCTGAGATCGTAGAGCCAGATCTCAGAAACGAATTGATCTTGTAATTTGTCCACATCTACGAATTTCTGTATGGCTTGAATTAGGTGGTCAACAAGCGCTGTGAACTCTTTGTCTTGCTTTGTGAGTACTGATCTATCCTGGCTAATTTGGACCTTCTGAGAAATTATTGTAGTGCGGAGTGCTTTGTTATAACTGCTACGGATAGACTTTCCTGTATCCGAGCCTGCGAGTGATGAAGCGTCTTCCCCGATACTCGCAATCTGTGAATAGAATTCCGATTCCATATCCGACCATGATTCAAGATTCAGCTCAGTGCTTCCACCCTCTATGGCTTCTTTGAGTGAGGTAATGGTCCCTAGAAAATCATCGAGACTAGCGCGTTTGATTGAATCCACAATCGAACGCACAATTTCAGAGTTCTTTAATGAACCAGTCGATGCTTTAATATAGAGATCGATCTTCTCTGGTACTTCGACTGCCAAAGTAACTAGAACATGCATGATTCGGAGAATCTTCTGCACCGCATGATCTTTGCCTTGGATAGAACTTTCTACCTCTTGCAGAAGGAGCTCGTCATCGTTAACCAACCCCATGGCACGCTCTAATTCGCCTTGATCTACAAGACATTCGGTATATTTCTGGAACGATGGAAGCATTCTAATAGCTTCAAAATGCTCTGTTTGCAAAAGGGGCCCCAATTCAAGTTCGTCTGTGAGGCCCAGGAATATGCTCAAAGGGTTGGCATAGAAATGACACATGTACGCATACTAACCATGTTAGTGAACATTTGTCTAAAACTCAAGAGAAGAAATACCTTTAAAGCTCCAACAAAAGCTTGTACACTCTGAACATGATCATTTTGACGTTCCATGAGACTCGATAGAATGCCTGGCCCCAGTCGTATTGGAGCATCTGACCCGGCGATAACTTTTAAAAATATGTTTTCAAGGATGGAGCTCGTTTGCTCCACATCGAATTGTGCTCCATGTAAAGATCGAGCAGCGACACGAGAAAGTCGTTCTTGGAATAACTCGACGGATGTGGCAATTCCAAACAACAGAAGAAATGGGATGCGATCTAGCCAGGAGCTGAGGGCTTAAGTATTAAAAAGTAGACAGAAGGAGGAACAGACATATTAACTTACCTAAACAAGGATATTGCATCTCCAAGCAGACCAGAGTCAAATGCTTCGCTATCCTGAAATGACACGATCACTTTATCACACCCGTGGGCTTTGACATAACCATGAACGATTTCCAAATCATAGTTCAGAAGTTTACGGCCCTGGTGGGTTAGCAAGAATAGATCAGGTGAAGATTTAGAAAGATTTGACTTACATCTTGCTCAAGAAAATTGTCATTCTCGTCTTCGCCATTTGACTTTTGATGAGTGACATCTCTAATAAGCTTTTTAAGTAGTACCTTCAAGTTCGACGATTCTCCGGATCTAAGGGTGACAACAGGACCATTAAACTCATTTGAAAGTCTTGTTGAAAGTTGTTCAAAAAGCAAGCCTTGAGATGCGATATTTGGCCCAGTTACAATGAACCCTGCTGGGACTTTGCCTATGCTCCTTTGAATGTCTATCAGACTCCATCTCACTAATTATGCCAGATTATGCATACCTTTCATTCTCTACAAAAGATGTGACCTCTAACAAAGTGCCCTCATTTGCTTCATTCAGGATCGACTATTATGGTATTAGCCAGCTATGATGTTGATATCCTACAGCTTAGGATACATACCTGAATTTTTGTTTCTGTTTCCGGCCAATACTTATTAAACAGATTTAAACGCAGGCTTGAAAGTTCATCAGACTCCTTTTCATTAAATAATGGTGAAAGCTTGAAAGGCTCTGCATCGTCATTGATCTCAGGGGCTTTTGTTGTCGCCTTTCCTACCTTCCTACGCTTCTTAGGTCGCTGGAGTAGGTCTTCTGAAGGTACAGAAGTAGGAGTATATACATAGGCCGCCTATTGAAATTTAGTTCTGTACAGAATGGAATTTGGAATCCAACTTACCTGATGCTCTGTTCCATCAAACCCAGCAAGACTATTGGTATCCCCGTTTATAGACATTTTTAATTGATATAAATCGATTGAAAAAGAAAGGGGTACGCGTGAGATTTTGACGTGGTCGTGATTTGTTGTCGCGAATGGGAAGCGAAGTCATGCTGCGCAGTGCGCATCATAGCTTATCAAAAAAAAGTTTCCCGCACCTCAACTTTTTTTATTGGACCCATCAACATCAATACTTATGCCGCCGCCACCCACCAATTTCACTTCTAGTATTCGTGGTTTCGTATGCAAGTCATGTCGAATAAAACTACAGATCCCCCCGCGAGCACCATGGCTTTCGAGACATTTTACGGCGCAAAAAACCCCGCTGAGGTCGATAGATAGAGGGGGAAAAGTGCCACCGCTTGCCTCGAAGACGGAAACGCAACAAGTTGAGCAAACTGATGAACCATTTTACAAATACTATGACGAGACTCCGGATGGCGTTCGAACAGAAGCGCAGGGTGATCCTGAAGAAGAGGAATTGTTGGAAGGTCTTCAAGAGGCAGTTCGAGAAATAAAAGAAGACATTGGGGAAGTTTCAGCGGAAGAACTTGAGGAGGTGAACGAAGATGAAGAACCAAGCCTTCATATGGAGGAATGGGAAGATGCAATGGATGCAAAGATAGAACGCCTACAAGCCGAGGTGGATAGACTAGAAGGCATTACCAACAAGCCGGGCCCTATGTCAGAAGAGGACCGGCAAAAGATACGAAACTACTTCTTAAAGTCTGTCGAGGAAGGCAAGTCTCAATGTACTGACCCGTAGTGCGCCTGCTAATTGTCATAGATGAAGCTGAGACTTCCACAGAGCTATCTCCACCTCCGACTTCTTCCACAACACAACAGTTTCTCGCCCCAGAACCAAAGCCAAATTCCATCACCAACCCAAGATCTAACTCAAATTCTATCTTAATTCCAGAGAAGCAATACCCTCCCTCAGCCCGACCCCATTTAAAAGTTTTGAATAGCACATTGCAGAAAATTGATCATCGTTACGGTCGTAGCAATTTTCAAATGAATGAAAACCTGATGCATAAGTTATGGAAGCAGTACATTTTATGCCGAAAAACTATATTGTCAGATCCTGGTGAAGTTTCTCCAGAAACGTGGAAACTTCTTTGGGGTTATATTTCATTGCCAGACCCGACAAATTTGGACCGCATGGCGCATGTGAGACGACTGGGGCTAGATATGCAGAAAGCGGGTTTACACCTCGGAGGGCCTACATTATTGTTATATATCGAAGCTGTCTTTGTAGAAGGAGATCCAAGGACCGCAATTGATCTATGGAAATCCGCTTGGCAGACTTTTTCTAAAGATGAAGGCCTTTTAGACCAATATTTGGAGCTTGGTACTCGGATGTTTGCCGAGAACGGCAACATTGAGGAAGCCAGAAAGGCAGCATCGATTGTCATACAAAGATCAAACAATCCCCTCAGCGCTCGTATTCTTATTCACACAATACAAGGCTGCTTGGCCTCAACGATTAAAAACCGTACGCTTGAAGCTTGGAACATTTACCTTGACTTTCGGAAACACATGAAATCGAGTATGGAGATGGAGGATTATGATGTAATCAGCGGACTTTTTATGCGAGCTGGTAAAAATCATGAAGCATTAGCAGTCTTTAAAGATATGATGCTCTCGAAAGATCCCACTGCTTTGCAGTATGACTCATTGACAACACGAGATTATGAAGAATTTCCATCCATGCTGAACAATAAGTATTTCTTTGGAAAATGGATGAAGAAGCTGATTGGCAGTGGCGACCTTGACGAGGCCAGCAGAGTACTTGATTTAATGCGAGATTTCAGGATCTGCCCTGATGCCAAATTCACAAATGGGCTTATGGGTGCCTGGTTCCGTACGGGCAAATTAAAGAACCGAAAACTGGCCGAGGAAATGGGCTGGTCTATGATTGCAGCAAGACTTGATTTCGTTAAGGCTCGAGATCAAGGGGTTAAGGTATTGCTACCCCCCTTAACGGCCGTGAAAGGGACAAACAAGCGCGAGTACAAGCTTGCCAGCTTCAACCTCCACCCTCCTGCAACAATCGAAACATTTGCAATTCTTATGGACCAATACGTGAAAGGGCAGAAACATGAACAACTTTTGGACCTTTACACAACATTGGGAAAAGCAAAGATTCCAGCAAATACGTACTTCATGAACACAGCAATCAAAGCTGAATCAAAATCCTCTTTGGACACCAAAGAGATGTACTATACCTTCGTCAGCGACGGAGTGAAGCCTAATATTGAGACCTTTTTGCAATTGTGGCACAGTTTAAAGCAACGGAATATGCAAAGACATAGGCGCCATACATTTTTTACCCCCGCAGAACTGTTCGCAGAAATGATGAGATGGCGACAGGAGTTGAAGGCAGAGCTTGGAAAAGATGATTTACCAAAGGACCTCTATAACTCAATCATATTGAACTTTGGTTTAGTGGACGACCAACCAGGAACTGCAGTTGCCTTGCGTGCCATGCAAAAGTATTTTGGAACATATCCTACGGATGATACCGCACGCAACATTATTTTACAAATAACAGCAATTGGCGCTACGACTGGACCTGCACTGAGACGTCTCAATATCAATAAGGGTACAAAGGAGAGAGTGCGACAAGTCACGAAAGTTCTAGCAATGCTCCAATCGCAAAGAATTGAGGCTTTAGCGGAGTTAGGAATCGTTTATGATGACTTGCAAGAGCAAGCAAAATCAGAGGAGGCATTAACGTTATTGTCGGACCTTCTACGTGTTGTTGCACTGCAGGTGAATGGTGGTCAAGAAGGACGTATGGATATCGTCAAATCATCCCAAACAGCGGCGAAGATGATGGGTGTTCCTGATTGCGTTCCTTGGATGGTGTACAACACAGCAGATGAGGAATTGTTGGATGTGTAAAGTAGAATAGACACTCGCCAATACATGTAGAATAACATACAAATACCCAATGACTTAATTTGTAGAGAGCCAATTACTTGCCTGCTTTGCACTATCTCCTTGGGTGAATGGAAATACTAGGCGTGTGGAGATGATCATTGGTGGGTGAATTGCTTCAATGTCTACCTCCATGAATTCCGGAGGATGAATGATATAGACTAACAAAAGTCATAGAGGAGCAATTTACAAAGGTCACAACGTCTGGACTAACCACGACAGCCTCATCAGTAGTGAATTTAAAAGAACCTTGAGGGTCAGCACTCAAGCTATACCTCGGCAATCATTTCATTGGCCAATTTCAAGATTTTGCCCAAGGCGGTGACATAAATTTTGGTGTGTAAAATCGGTAGCCTCGAGACAACACCACAGCCTTTCCCAAAATCTCCCCAAACGCCCCTCACCGTCGCACCTCAATTATTGCTTCCAAACCCCCGGGACAATTTTTTCCATAATCGCGCAACATCCCTCTTTCTAAATCTGCAATCAAATTTATAAGTTTCCCAAAAGCCCCAAATTTGGTTCTGCAGACAGACGTGCAACAAAACTTTTTTTGAGAGCTGAAGAGTGTATTCGATTGGCTGTTTTTCTACGAAACATAACAATCACATTTATTCATCCATCATGACGGAAGATGAATTAAAAGCCGCAGAAGCTTCAAATGAAGCTGCGCAAGAAGAGGAAGAAGACGATGAGGAAGATGATTATATGAACATGATCATTTCCGAGCCTGTCAAACCGCGAGAGAAGGAAACATATACCCAACGACGACAGCGCATACAGCGAGAATCGGAAGCGCGATCGCGCACGAAGTCGAAAGCTGAGATGGCGGCCGAGGAAAATGCTGCGAGGGAAGACGCGTTGTCGAAATCGATGTTGGAGGCGCCGGAGAATGCGAAGAGTAAGGGATTGAAGATGATGGCGAAGATGGGGTTTAAGCCGGGAGTTGCGCTGGGGGCGAAGGATAATGTTGGGGCGAGGTTGGAGCCGGTGGGAGTGACGATTAAAGAAGGGAAGGGAGGGATTGGGTTGGATGAAGAGAAGAAGAGGAAGTTTAGGGAGGAGGTGGAACGGGAGGGGAAGAGGGTTAAGGCTGAGGAGGGGGAGTATAGGGAGAGGGTTAGGAAAGAGAGAGAGGATGCGAGATTGGAAGGAATGGTAGGCGCAGCGATGAGGGTTGCGGAGAGGATGCACGGGGAAAGAGAGGAAGAAGAAATGGAGAATGCCATTGATAATGTGAGCGAGGGATCTGGGGAAACTAAAGATGAACTAAAACGCAAAATATCGACCAAACCGTTGAAGCAGATCAACATTTTATGGAGAGGATTAGTTCGGAAGCGCGAAGAAAAGGAAAGGGATAGAAGGATGAGATATGATCTCCAGCAAAGTTTATCACGTTTACCAACCTACGATGATGCGAACGAAGACAAGGATGACAAGAGAGCACTCGGAAAGGACAAGATCCAGCATACTCTTGTGGAGGATTTGGAAGAAGAGGACCCTGAGTTAGATGCTTTCAATCTACTGGAACCGGCTGAGAGACTACAAAAGATTGTTGAACATTTGAGGTCGCAGTACAATTATTGCTTCTTCTGCAAATACACATATCCTGACGATTCAATGGATGGCTGTCCAGGTTTAACGGAGGAAGATCATGATTAGCGATCATTAATTTACATCATGAAATTTTTAATTGTAGTATGATACCCATTATCAATTCGTTTTGATCATTAACTCGAAGCCATTATACCTTGAATCCCTCCAGGGTGCTTATGATGAGAGGAATTCATGGGTATCAATTGTCTTTTAACTGTGCAACCATTTATTTTTATAGACCTATCTAATCCCTTATGACTTGTCTAGTCTGACAGCTGGATTTCTCTCGATGAAATTCAAATCAACCTTGTGACCTAACAATTCTCTGATATTGTTCACCTAAAAGACAGATTAGATTGATTTTATGATCCAAGAGTGTGGGAGAAATCTTACCTTATATTTAATCATAGTTGGACGCTCCAAACTTAATCCCCAACCAAAGACCTTCATATCTTTTGGTAAACCCATTGCCTCCAACATTTCTGGCCTGAACATTCCACTGTTTCCGATTTCAACCAGTTTGCCGAGACCCTTGTGGTAACTGAAAATCTCCATACTTGGCTCGGTGTAAGGATTATAAGCTGGCTTGAAACGCAAATCTTCCAGACCCATCTTGTTGAAGAAGACCTCCATGAATTCCATAAGACCTCCCAGGGACAATCCATAATCTGCAATAACACCCTCAACTTGGTGGAACTCAGCAAGATGGGTAGCATCAACAGTCTCATTACGGAACACACGATCAATGGAGAAGTATCTTGCTGGCGGTGGTCGTCCATCGGGTCCCTTTTGTTGGGCTAATTTGTGTAGCATTGCTGTCGATGTCGCAGTCGTATGTGTTCTGAGGACTAGTCGTAAAGATTCATCCGCAGCCCAAGGATATCTATAACCGATTGATCCATATTTTCCTTCCTGGTGAACTTCTTGTACATTCTTCCACAATGCCTCATAGTCAGCTTTATCCTCCCCATCCACTGCACGTGGTTTGTCTGCAGTTTTAGGATCCGAAATATAGAAAGTGTCTTGTAAATCTCTCGCAGGATGTTGTTGTGGGACAAAGAGAGCGTCGAAGTTCCAGAAGCCGGTTTCGACGAAGTTATTGGTAGGCATTTCCTCGAAACCCATTTCGAAGAAGATTTGGCGGAATTCATGTCGTACTTTATTTAGAGGATGTAATGCACCAGAGTTTTGGTCTGCTCCAAGAGATTTGAAGTTATATGGTTTGAAAGCGGCGGTTTTCCAGGCACCCCTAAATATGTGAGTACTTTTTATAACTCAAAGTGTCGCTGAAACCTACGATGCAAGCATGTCTGCTGTCAAATCTGTCTCTTCCTTGACCATTTCCAAGGCGAATTTGGGTCCTTTCGAGATCTTATAACTAGTAACCTTCTGCATCTTTACCAGCTTACGTTTCTTGAGCTCTGTGATAACTTTTGGATCTGGATGCGCACGAGTCTTTTGGATAGTCTGGAGCTGTTCTCGAGTTGTGTCCTGGATAGAATCGGTCTGCAAAACTTAGAACGAACTCTGGAGAATTGGAGAAAAATAACTCACTGAAGCTACCAGTTTTCCATCTTTACCTTTCGCAATCCATTTCGACTTGAATGCTTTACCTTGACCAACCTTGACAACATTCTTATCTCCCACAGCAGCTTCTAATTCGGAAACCGTGAGTCCATCCATTGCCTTTTGTAGAGCCTCAAAAACTCGTGCCTCATGACTACCATTGTTGGCAATTTCTTCAGCCTCTGCTTCCAGTATAACTTCTTCGCGATCTATTGTTTCGTATGTGATCATAGACCTTGAGCCAAGTCTGTCCAAAGCACCTTTGATGTCGGTGGACTTTTGAGAAGGAAATGCTTCCGAGGAAAGGATGTTGTCATTTTTGGAGAGAGCTTGAAGAATCTCGGACGGTAGATCGGACGCCATTTTTGGAGGAATTACAGGTTCGTTGTTACAATAGTAAATGTTAGAGGTGACTCAATCCCAATAATTTTGAAGGTTCAGGTGTGGTGATGCCTTAAAAATAATTAAGGCATTAGGAGGGGTTTTTATCCGACCCCTCACTCCCTCTTCACTCATTCACTCATTCACTCATCACACATGTTTCTTCAAGCTGAGGTAGATATCTACCAGGTGTGGGTATTCATGAATCTACTGTATTTCAACGTCTCAATTCACCGTCTCAATTCATCGTCTCAATTCATATACATGTATACATCTCTCTACCTGCGGACGTTCACCAGACAGTCAAACTGGTGATTCACGTGAGGTACTTGCTTTTCATTCGTTCATTTGATACCTAATTTTATTCAGTTGCTTTTCAATATCAAAATCGTACCACCGTCAAACCAAAAAGAAATCCTGTATTGAATTAAGTTGTCGCTATTTTGATTTTATATCTTCAAAAGCAAGCATCCTTATCGGCCAATTTACCAACGGTAGGTTTACTTTTCGAAAATATCAACACGTTGAAATGAATTGTTTTCAATTTATGAAGAGTACCTACGCGTGACATTGTAGCGCTTTTGACTTTTTGGCATCTTTAGCATTTTGCTGGATTTATTGGTTGTCCGGCTTCTTCCGGGTCAAGGAGACATGCCCAACCTGCCAGGGCACTCTGATGCTTGCATTGGTACTATTTTTGTCCCACCAGATTCGAGAATGAAACGAATATACCCAAGATTGGTGTGGGGGAATCCAATGTTACCAAAAATGATTCTTCATCACATCACATCACCGCATCTCGTATCGGTAAAGAGGTCCCAGCGGTATTTATGGTATACTTTGTGAGTACAGTACAGCCATGTACAAGGATCTCGCCCCTCCTCGCATTGCGAAACGCCAACAGCTGTAAGGTTTGGTTCATTTATATATATCCCGTCTACTACTTGAATGTATGCGATTTTCTTCACTTGTTTGCCTTTAGCTATTCCATGCTACCAATTGCCGTTCCTTGACCCCGAGCCAAATATTGAGAGACAGTAGCCACAAGTGTCACTAATAGCCACGAGATCTCTACTACATTACCACTTTAGCGGAACCTATATTTTACCCATCTCCTGGCACCAAGATGTGTTTAGGAATGACTTGCTGCACCGATAAAGCACCATCTTCAACTGGTTTTCCTACGTCCTTCCAGTTATTCGCAAAATTACCCACTGAACTTCGTCTCCAAATCTGGAACTACGCCATCTTACTCACCTCGCCATATATTGGGCTATCATGGTCCCCATCAGAAAATCGATTCATTTCTGATCGGAAGCCTCCTCCTATACTTCATACCTCAAGCGAGTCTCGTTCAATATCACTTGCTTATTGGACTTTCTCATCTCCCATCTTCTCTCACACCTGCATCAATTATGACCAAGACTTCTTGTGCTTCAACTGGCCATCAATGGGAAGCATCCCTGGTCGACTGGGTGGGAAAATCACGGATGAAGAATGTAGGAAGATAAAAAGGATTCTCATACACGAGCACTACCTAATTCCGCACGTGTTTGATAATCTACGAGAATTCAAGAGGTTCGAAGGATTGGAAGAATTGGCTATTGCTTGCCATCATGATGATATAATTGGCATGAGGAGGTACGGATATATGTTTGCGCAAATGTGTTTTGACAAGGTAGACGAAGTTGAACATGGCTGGCCGACACATTGGCCAAAACTTGTTTGTTCAGCAAAGGCCGTGGGGCAGTGTTCTAAACATTGGTGGTTCGATAGATGGAATGACAGGGCGATGTCCAGATCAGATCGAAATTGGCAAGATCAAATGGCGATGCTTGTTAGGGTAACAGCTAGGAATGATGTCGATCCCGAAGTCTTTCACTACAATTCGCAATTCCTACGTCTCGTCTTGGGAACATAGGAGAAGGATTGCATTGTCCAGTTTTGTGTGGTTGGAAGGAATCGACATTGCACTGCAGCACAGAAATCAAAATATGAATATAATTTATACAGCTATCGTCTTGCACTGATTGTCAATGATCATCTGAATGTAAAGAATAGAATGAATAGGTACGGTGCAACTCATCTCTTCTTCTGAACGATTGAAAGAGTTTGAAAGGGTTAATTCTTACCAGAAAATTGGAGCCTGGCGAATCCATTACAATTCCGCTTATGTAAGTAAAACTAACAAACAACCCTGCAATGTCCAATCCGTTCTGTCGCCTATTCCATCCTGTTGCGCATCAACAGCTTCAAAAGCTTTTGATAATCGGACCAGTGAATTATCAGAGCTGCAAGTCTTACTTGCCCTCTATTTTTCACGTTTAAAAAGATGTGAACTTTCAAACCTCCGACCATCCACACAAGTCATCTCAAATCATCAATGACTCCTGAAAGCAATGAACAATGATTTCACATCAGTATCGGGCCCATCGGCAACCCCTCCCAATGGCAGAAGTGGGCCATCGAGCCGGCGACGTCGACATCGCTCCAGCACTCCTGCTCAAAAAAGAGCTTACGAGCAAATGAGAAAGAAGTATGAGTTAGCAAGCTCGTTGATGGCAAATCTCGACTTTGCGGTTTACTGCCAATTATGCGTATTATATTACATGGAGTATATAGCTCTCTCCAGTCTTCTTGATATGCTTAAGCTAACGTGTTCAAAGCTGCTCATTCTTCCAACTCTTCATACGTGCCCTCACTCAATTCATTATTCTCACACCAAAGCCGAAGAATGTTAGACAGCCGCCTCAAAGTTCCTCGTGGGTTATAATGCTGTTGGGCACGAATATTCTTTGTATATTTTTACACCTTTTCCTTGCGCCATCGAGGTCTACGGAGGAGATGAGAGGATATCTCCATGGAGGAATTATAATCGATCTTATTGGTCAAAAAGGTCCTTCATCGAAGCTGAAGTTGGTAGTCTTGGATTTGCTTGTATTGATCTTACAAGCCATATTATTCACGGTTCATCTGGATAGAGAGAAGCTTGACAAGTTTCTAACGGCCTATGGAAAGAAAACTACCGATGGGCAAACACCACTTCCCACACAAGATTACGATGCAGAGGAACGAGGTGTACTGAGGGATCCTGTTGCCGGGTTGGAGGATATTGAAATGCAGTCGCTGGGTTCCACAAGAGCTGTCTCTCGCCCGCGAACTCAAGAACTCACTACAGAAGTAAATGAGCAAGATGAACGAGAGGAGTTGCTAGCTGAGCCGGTGAATAGAGAACCGGATGATGGGCCATTGGATATATTTTGGTCAGGGACAGCTGTTATAGGGGAATTTAGTGTTTTGCATACCCTTCGCAGTCAGTTGGCACTCTCAGGGGCCGCTTCTGGGTCGTTACGAGCAAACTCTTTGTCTGCTAATGTCGCCGAGCTTACGGCAAGGAACCCGAGGCTTGATTTTATTGCTCGAAGATTTCAGCGCAGCTTGCAATAAACCACTAAAGATGCACAAAAGGAGGTTCCACATAATGTGTTAAGTCAGTGTAATTTGCACATACTACTATATATGGTAAATATTTGTTATGAATATGGATAAACAGGTGATTGTTGGCTTTATTATGCTACTGTACGCCTCTGCCAACATTTCCCACCCCCGTGCCCTTAACGCTTACTATGATATCCTCGCTTTCATCTTCGTCTACATCTCGTAAACCCCAACTGCTTGCCCCGAACTTTTTTAGATCTCTTCCTAGTGTTATTAGGTCCTCTGAGGCTATTATTTCTCGTCCTAGTCTCAATCTGCCGATATCCTCTGAACCCATTGCCATCATTGTCAGTACTGTAGGTGCTCCAGCCTTCGTCACACACCCGCCCTGTGATATAATTTCTAACAACTGATATGCACACTGCTTTCCAATATCTTCGGGCGCGACACCTCCTGCACTCGGGGAGACCACATCCGCCGTATATATTACACCCGCAGAACTGGTCTCCGCAATCAATGCCAACCCAAAACCTACTCCTGTCCTCTTTTTCGCGCTTGGATTCGTTTTGTCCTTTGCTGATACTAGTGGCGCTTGATCGTACTGTGTCGCAATATGAATATCTCCCACCAATGGATTCAAAATTCCTCGAGCCTCGTGTATCATTCTCGCGTTATGACTGTTGCTCACACCTGTCGCATATGCCACTCCTCTTATCCTCCTCACCCTCCCAGGACTCCTGTTCAAATGCAAGGTCTTAGGTAGCGCCTTGATCTGGCTCCCAAACCGTAACTCTACTACACCTCCACCACCCTTGCCTCCCGCTCCCGGACAACTTCTCTGTAAAACTCTGATTTCTAATTTGCTGGCCATGATTCCGAATGGTTCGTAAAGTGGTAGAATAGCCGTTCTGACACTATCCACTGATATATCTCCTGCTTCCGTTGCACTTGTGATAACACCTTCTCCCTCAAACCTTACATTGACAGCCTTCTTTGCAAAAGGCGCAAGCATACATAAAGGCAGCAAGAAATAACTAACTCCCCGAGTATTATTCGCCGGCAAGTGACATTTTATCACTCCGTCTACATCTGCACCCAAGCCATCGATCGATCCGGCTATAACACCTGGATTGTAGACCAGCGTTGTACCAGTGTAGGATATTTGTACAGATGATCCATTGCTGACGGATTCTAGGAGGCGCAAGAAGGATACTTCGTGAGGTGCAAGGCCCGGATTGGTAGGTGAGGAGCTTCGGATCTGTGAGATATGAATTGGACGACCTGTCAAAGCAGAGAGAACGAGTCGGTGGCTCAGAGACTTGTGGGTTGTAAAGCGAAGAATTTCGGGGGTAGGGGCGGACATTGTATATTGTGTATGAGGTTTTTGTTAATTCAGATCGACAAAATTTATTTTTGCGATAAATAATTCTGCCAGCAGTGACTCCTGATAAGGAGGCGGTGAATTTCACATTTCTCATGCATACTCCCCCCGTACATTCATTTACTACTAGGTATCTCGATTCGCTCATTCATAATTTGGCGTGCCCGTTCATGTTTAGCAATGGTTCAAAAGCGTTCATTCAGGCTCTGAAAATAATCACGAGCTTTTTTGTGCCTTCATGACAGAGGATATGAGATCAAACATGTATTCGGGGTATAACTTCACGATATCACATTCACAAACACGCAAGTTCTCTGTGATCTATTGAGATCTAATCAGAGAACGGTCAAGCAATTTGAGAATTGCCATTAATGTTTTCATATCTTATTTGTGATTTTGGGCCAATTTCCTAACGTAAATTGAAGAAAACCTTAATGTCAAAGAAGAAAAGTGAGCGTTTATCCGGGCCAACTTGAAAATCCGCAGTCAACTCCCCACGCATCCGCCATAACGTGCTTTTCAGAAAAGGAAATTTGTACAAGGGTGATTTGTGGCATTCTGAAAAGCCAGGGGTTAAAAGAAATAACAATCCGATAGCTCTTAGTGTTACAATGGGAACCCGCAAAGCAAATGCAAAACTATCAACCTCAAGTCGGGACGACGATGCCTGAAAAGACGACGACTGGAGACCTAAAGGGGACCAATTCTGCTCATTAACCGATCTTGATGTTGATCGCACACGCTGGCCGCAAATTGTTTGGCCTAAGCTGGTGTATTTTTCGCTTTCCTCACAGGGAAAATATTTCATGCTTCTGATTCAACAGCTGGTGCTTCCGCTTCCTAATATTCTGTTAACATTTGTTGCCTCGATTACTCTTGAAGGGGGCTTTACCTCTGGAGATTCTTCTGTGACAGGGGCGGGGTCGTCATTGCTGGCAGCCTCTTCTTTGGGTAGTGCGGTAAGTGGCGTGTCGAGGGCCGGTGATTTCTCCTCCGTCTTTGACTCATCGGTTTGGGCGATGCCATTTGCTGCCACGCTGTCGGATTTTGGCTCATCTTTCTCCTTACTATCATCCCTGGTGCCGTTGGCAGGGGCCTCAGTGGTAGCTGGTGCAACCTGCTCACTGGCGAGAAGTCTGTTCCATTTATCAAGTAAGCTCTGAGACCTTGATTTGAACTGAAATTCATCTTCTTTGGGAATGACAGGTAGCTTCAAAATAGCCTTGAGAACTTTGTTTATTTTGGTTGCTCTGATGATGCTAACCTCAAGGTCGGCATAACCTTCGAGTTTGTTCACATACTCGGACATTTGTTGCATCTCGTCTGCCTTGGGCTCTTGGTCTTTAGTCAGAAGACCTTTTTGAAGTTTGTGCCTTAAGAACAAGATCTCTTTCTAGAAGAATTGTTAGACACAATCACCAAGGTGTTAGAGAAAGTCAACAAACCTCTTTCTTGACCCTTTTCTCTTCTGGGGTGAGTTCTGGTTCAGGAGGAGCGACAGGAGCGGCGTCTTTGGTTTTCGCAGCAGCCTTCTTTGTCTTGCTCTTATCCTTTGCAGACTTGGGTTCCTTTGCTTCTTTGGCAGGCTTTGGAGTAGATGTACCATTCGCAGCCTTTGGAGTATTGTTCAACTTGATACGAGGCTTCTTTGGGGCGGTATCAGGCTGCTGCTGGGTTACTATGTTAGTCTTGATAATAGTAAAAAACTCATACTTGAATGGTAACATACAATATCATCCTCGGGAACCTGTGAAGGGTTTTTTCGCTTCTTCTGAGTTGATTTTGGTGCTTCGACCTCCTCGTCATCAGGGATAGCACTGACGTCCATCATCTCTGTGTCTTCATTGTTATCCAATTTAGGAGCAGCTTTCTTTGGCGTCTTTTCTTTCTTCTCTTTCTTTGCCTTCTTGGCTGCCTTTGCAGCCTCTTTGGCTTCCTCGTCCGCTCTCTTCTGCTCCATGAACTCTGTTAACACAGTTTTGAAATAATCCAAATCGTTTTTTTCGGCGGCAAGTTGATGCGCAGCATACAAATCTTTGCGCATATTATTAGGAACGTCCCCGACTGTATCTAGATCGAGATCAAGGAGATCATAATTTGGTATCCAGCCACTAAATTGATCAGTAAGATTTATCTCAAGGAGTTTTGCTAGGCACTCACAATTCATTCGTAAAAAGATACATGACAGGGAAAGTTCTGTCTTTAGCCTTAGAGCCGCCATCTTCGTAATCACTTCTGTATGTACCATCTGCTCTCATTGCTGTGACTGGGCGAGATTTGATGAGGGTGCTGGGAAGCATATCCTCGTCGCAGACAATTGCAGGCCACAAAGGATATCCCTTCAATCGCACATAGAAGTAATCGCCGGGTTTCGCATCCGTATGCGTCAACTTCGCCTTGGATTGCTTTTTGTTCAACTTTTTCTTGTGTTCTGGCACGCTAGACTTGCGTCGGCCCTTTGTCTTGCTGGCTGAAGCTGGTGTGCTGGCGGCACCATCTGCTAACTCTGCAGACTCATCCGCTGCTGGAGCTCCGTCCTCTGATTGTTCTTCGCCCTTCAATTCTGCATCGTCGCCATCTGCGGGGGTAGACGCGGATGGCGCCTCCTGCACTGAGCGATCGGGAATTGTTTGTTCGTCCATTTTCTCTGATTTAGCTTCGGCGTTGCTACTCTTAACTAAACAAATGAGATTAGCAAAAGAAAAGTGATGGGAATTGAGACAATAGAAAAGCAATTGTACCTTCTTCCGTCGCGCTCGTACCGGAAGTCGCGACTGGATCCTCGGAAACAGCTTCATCCTCAACACCATTGCTACCGTTGGCGCCTTCCGACACATCGACTTGGGGCTCTACAACAGCATCTGGAGCTGAAGTGCCTGGGGACTGAGGGGGCACCACCTCATCTCGCGTGCTTGCCTCATCCGCCATTGTCGCGACACAGCTTCAAAAAAGTTCAATGATATATGTAAGGCGTATTGGTAGGATAGTTATTGACGCGTCAGGGATGTGTGAGATGATTAAGATAATCGCGGATAAATAATCTGATGGAGGTGATAACTTTTTGTTGCTGCTTGGGAAGAAGGAATTCTGGAAATCAAAATGTCGCTTGAAAAGAAGTTACGCCTGCGCGCTAGTGAGGCAATAGTCACGTGCTGGTGCGGTGGATTCTGTACACAATACACTCTCGACTACCCCCAGCCTCCCGGATATTAGTCGGAGAGGGTGACGCGAAAAGTGAGTTCCAGATAATAACAGTACAGTAACAAAGCTGTACTAACTTGTAATTGAGTATGACATTCAATGTCAATAGTGAAAAGGTATTGTTGAAGAGAAAGAGATGATAACAGAGAATTTTTTGACATAATAATAAACAAGAAAGAATTGAAAAAAAAAAGTGATCAATAAGACATCATTGACAGAACCTTCTGTCGTGTCATGATCAACACACGAGTAAGAATCCGCCCACTGTTGGGCCACCTTTGACGTAGCCAATCACTTTGCGAGCGGCGTCCGTGGCACAGGCAGCACAGTCACAAATATCGAACAAAACCCAATGAGGATGCGGAATCCAAGGCAACCCCCGAGCAAATCAATCAATCTTGAGATATGCTTTTGACCAACTAAACCTATCTATTATACAGCAATGCTTCGTCGAGACAAAGGGAGGAAAGTGGCTCATTCTTCATCTTCGTCTTCTTCGTCTTCATCTTCATCCATTCCTTCTGCTACCGAGACATGGAAACTAGGATCTTGATCGACACCCACATAACTGTCGCTCATGAGGAACAACTTTAGATCATGCTCTCCAGGTGTTGGCACCGTATATTCCAGCCGAAGGTTCAACGCTTTCCCGATTGTGACCCGTTTGATCGCAAGTAACGTTTTTGTACCTTCATCGCCCACGACCAACCACCAATTCTCCATTTTCTTTGCGGGGTAGAAGGGAGCATGGACGGACATATCCACCTCTGCCGCATCATCATCTTCGTCAACATCTCGCAAAATCTTGATTTTAAGGTAAGCTGGTGATCCAGCCACAATCTCCTCCGGGTCCTCCACTTCAAAGTCAAGCTCAATGTTAGGATATTTAGAATTCGTGAAATTGGCTGCCTGTGCCAATTGTGTTTGCGAGAGACCAAGTCTCTTAATGAGAGCTTCATAGTCTGTATTTTCGGAAGGGTCCATTGCGTCCATGAACTCGAAGATGTCCTTGATACTGTAGATAAGTTTGATTAGCGGAGGTACTTGATTAGTGTCAAAATTTAAAACATACCCAGATTCATTTGCAGCCTTGATGACCTCGGGCGTAAAGTGAGGAATCTGTTTCAAAGGACTATCGCGATCCCACATCCCTTGCACAACCATTTGTGACATTTCCATGGCATTCATGGCGTTAATGTGACCGTCAGAGGATAAAACATCTACAGTAGCACTTAAGAGACCAAGAACTTTCGTTAAAATGATCTCTTGATCCTTAGCAAGATCAATCGGTAGCTGCATTCGGGAGAAATGAGCTTGAAGTAGGACAAATGCCTTGAAGTGCGGTGAATCAAAGCTTGGCTGGGCCATCTTGACCGGAAGTCGATCATATACTCTACGAAGCAGATTGTCTTCGTGTCTTCTAATCTGTATGGTCTCGAACTCAGTTGCTGAAGTGACGATTTCCAAAATACCCTTGAGCTTGGTACGGCCAGTCAATGAAAGCAAAAAAGTCTGCATGGTGACGTATGAGATATTGTAATAAGCAGCAATCATTGCTGCGTTTAATGGAGTGACAGAGTCGTCCTCTTCATCCAAATCAATGATCTTGAACTCGGCCAGATCTTTCAGAGTGGTCTCTACAAGTTCCGAGAGGTGGGCACTAAGACCTTCATGGGATGTATCTTTGAGACTATAGTAGCTGGGGTTTGCAAGCAATCTTCGATAGAAATACGTAAAAGTAGTCCAGTTGATGGCATCGCTGGCTGACTCGATCATTTTGGTACTGATCTCAGACACGAAAGCATCATGCAAATAAACCTGAAGATGACTCTCGATTGGAAGAGCTTCATTCAAAAACTTCTTGTAGTACTCTCTCTTAACAGCTGGTACCATTAAAACACCCCTGCTAATTTTATCTTCCAAAGGTCGTGTTGCTTTACCGAACATTTGTAGGATCTCGCTAAGAGGATAGTCGACGTAGCGGTGCTCCCTGCCTTCATAGAACTGCGTACCCATCACAATAACTAGATGTGCTTTGCAGTCAAGTTCCCAGCAAACGTCACGAGACGCTACCATTACTTGTATTGCCCCATTATCATAGAGATGTTTCACAATACGTTTATCGCTTGTGCTAAGAGCCTCATGATAATAACCTATGCCATGCGAGATAGATTCTGCGAGAGCTTCTTCTTGAATTCGTTCCAATAAGGGCTTCATCTCATCCACATCGGCGTGCAGGAAACGATCTTCGTCGTCGCTAGCCAGGCATGCCAAGAGTAAATCACGGGTTGTAGCACGAGCTTGCTTTCTACTAGGAACAAATACAAGAGCAGGCTTGTCTGGCGACATTTGATTTATAGCAAGGTAGGTTGGCTTTGCCATGGCAAGCATGAGAGAGGGGAAATGGGGAATAGTGAACGACTGAATATGAAGCTCGAGAGGAACTGAGCGAACGTGAGGACTAAAGTTATAGATGTTGTGCTTTTTCGCATCTATCCATTCTCCAATATCACGAGCATTGGCGAGCGAAACACTTAGCCCCACGATTCGCAATGGTAACTCGGTTTGTGATCGGATATAATGCATACGAGAGACAATGATCTCATAAACAAACCCAGCCTGTCCACCAAGCATGTGCAGTTCATCTGCGATGAAAAGTTCAACATTCTGCACGTTCTTACGACGTTGCCATTGTCGCGATAGAACATCCCATTGAGAAGGTGTTGCGAGGATTAAATCACCTCTCTCCAAAAGTTTGAGGTCAGCAGTGGTTTCTCCTGTGAGCTTCACAATTTCTTTGCCTCCCAGAAGTGTCGAAAAACGCTTCTGCCAATCTTGAAGCCGAAGATCAACAAGTTCTTGGAATGGAGCAATGTAGACAGCACGTCCCGCGTCACCCTTTTTCCAGTGATGAAGCAACGCAAATTCTGCGCAAACAGTCTTGCCGCTTCCGGTGGGGGCTCCAACAAATACATTATCATCAGTATCAAAAAGGGATTTAAATGTTTGTGTCTGAATCTTGTTGAAGCGATCCCAGTCTGGGTACAACGATTTGAATTCATCGACTTTTAAGGCTGCAACAGGCAAAGGCTGTAAATCCAATAATGGTGTATGAGGTGGAAATTTCTCGGGCAAGATGAGCTTCTGGAACGAGACTGCAAGCTTGGTTTCACAATTCATCCATCGATCCGAGACGACAGTAATGAAATAATGTGGCGGCATGGGCTCTGTGATGGGGACTGTGAATTCAATAAGATGCTCGTTCATTTCAGCTTGAGCAAAATCTTTACGAAGAATGAATTGATCGTGGAAAAGAATATCCTCGCCGTCACAATCTTCAGCAATGATCCAGAAACTTTCCGCAGCACCATGGATTTCGTCATCCCACTCAAACTTGGGTGTGATAGTCAACTCTACTCTCAGCATTGATCTCGTCATCGGTTGCACTTGTGCCTGAACTTCTAGTCGAGGAAATTTTGCAACAAGATTGCAGACCGTTCGGCCTGCTTTCGGGAGACCTAACAATTCGCCCATGCGTGGCGGATCAAGATCAAAGTAGTTGGCCCATGAAACGTCAATTCTCTCGGCTTTTTGTATGATGTCCCTAGGACATCCGGCAAATTGCCTGAGTGGTGACATGGTTGGCCACATGCGCTTTTCTGCCATTTTGCAAAGCTCCAAAGCTGTCCTGGCTACCGAGGACCACCCCTTCTTAAGAGTGATCTCGAAAATAGCACGCAAAATTCTTCCAGCTGACTGAGTGACGTATACCAGATCTGCCATCAATGCTAGTCCATCCAGTTTTAATCTCGAAACGTAAGCCTGCAAAAGAACATTTATCTTGGCATGAGGCTCCTCGACACTTTCTTTCACAGGAATTGGTACACGCCCTAGAAGTTTGGCTAGTTCCAACTTTTCTTCTTGGCGAACTGGGATGTACTTGAATTCGTCACTCAACGCAAAAACGCGGAAAAGTTCTATTGGCGTGATCGACGGTTGGAGGTGGTGGTTGTAAGTCAACATGGAGTTGTGTGTAATATAATAATGAGATGCAATTCTACCAAGTTCGGTCGCTTGTAGTTTACCCGTCTTCTTGTCGTATTTGATAAGGTTAGACTTCTCCAGCACTACAGCCGCAGAATGGATCAAGTCAACTCGCTTTTGCTCCAAGGCGCTGTCATCTTCATAGTCGGCTCCTACGCTGTACAACCCTGGCGACCGCAGCATTCGCACGAATAGATAAGTGTATCCTAACCAGTCAACACCTTCATCACGACTACGGACATTGCCAAGAACAACCTCTGCGTTTAGATTGTCTACCAATCTGCTCACAAACTGACTCTCAATTGGCAATTGTTGATTCAAAAGTGAAAGATAATACTGCATCTCGTTCTGGGTGGTGATGATGATTCCCTCTCCATATGTGTCATATTGGGGACGGCCAGCACGCCCAAGCATTTGAAGTACATCTTGTGGACTCAGTTCCACCCAACTTCCTTTCTCCGGGGAGTAGACTTGAGTGCCTTTGATGATGACAGTATGTGCTGGTAAATTAACACCCCATGCCAATGTAGCAGTACAGACAAGTACTTGAATTAAACCTTCATGGAAAAGTTCCTCAACAGATGTTCGATCTGGCCTGTTCATACCAGCGTGATGTATTCCGAAGCCGTATGGTAACAAATCCTTGAGCTCTCGATCGCTGACCTCTTCGGCCTCAGAAGCGA